ATAGGCTAAGCTTAATAAACACACTGTTAACTCAAGGTTTTTAAAGATCTACCTTAAATGTATGCCTAGTTACCGTGATCCGGTTTATACTCCCCAAGTTCATCATTAAACTCTTATTATCAATTAGGCTTGAGGCATGTCCCAACAATATAAGAATTTCTGGTAATATTAAAACAATAATAATAATTTTAACCAGATTTGATTTCATCTATTCAGCAATCATTATTTCTATTTTTCATAATTTCAAGTAATATTTTTCTTTTTTTATAATTTTAAGTATAATATTTTTATTAGAAAATTAAAATAAATTCCTATTAATTATCTTAAATGACATATGTGAGAATCATTAGATCGTTTTATAGCCTCTTATTATCTTAATCATAAATTAATTCATAAATCTGAGTTTTCGATAATTGAACCTAGAGGATATTAAACTAAAAGGTAATCGAAATAATTTGATTTATGTAAATTTTATGACAACAAAACCCACATCTCTATCAAATAAATATCAAACGTCCATCCATGTAAAAATAAGGCATGTTTTGTGCTAAATTTGAATAAGGCAAAACAATGTGAATAAAGCACGAATTGCAGGACTTAATTTGTGCTTTATTCATCTAAACGAACATTTGCGTGTGGGCCCAAATAACACTACTACCTTGCGTTACTGTGATGGAATTTTTGAAATTTTCATCCATAAGAATCCACTTGGCATTACCGCAAATGTCCGTAACCTTTTGTAACAACAAAACACAGGTCGGTATGCTATTTTTTATTTTTTCATCATTCCCAATCGAGAATCAAAATCAAGGTAAGGTGCAAAGGGCCCACCTCTATAACTCTTGGACTCAACAACAAAAGACCCAAGCTATGACGGAACTTTTTTTTGACACGTTAAAAACGCCCTCTGTCTTTTCTAGCGGCAACTTCAGAAAGTCGACTTTGAATGTGGGATCATTTTGTCGTCTTGAAGCCCACCTGCGGATTAAAAAGGCGCCGCCTCGTGTCCAATTTTTACCATTATTATTTTTTGTTACCCACATACAGTAACACTTTAACACTTGGAAATGTTGGAAAAACTCGATTTCATTTTTCTTTTTTTTTTCTTTTACTTTCTTCAGCATGCCAGTGCCATAGCTCCCTTTCTGTTTCTTGCCATCTGAACCCCTTTTGGAATCAATCACTCGAGAAAGTTCTTTGATTCCAGCGTGACCACGGTATTGGGGTGGATTTTTTTCTTCTTCTTGCTTTTGGCTTAATTGTCAATGGGATTCTATGAGCTGTGTTTTGACTTTTCCTGGCACAGGTGGAACGAAGTGGTAAATGCCACCGAATCGACAATGAAATGCTTGTGTAAATCGCTTATTCGAATCGGATTTTCGCGCATTTCATGGAACGGATCGGAAGGGCAAGCTCCTAATTTTTCTATTTGTTATGTATACTTACAGGTCCATTAATATAATTCTCTGTTTATTAATTTATCAATTAATTAAGTAGGTTGTTGTTGAAATATTGCGTAATCAACTGGGATTCGGATAGAAGTCTGACATTTGCCCATATCTCACAGAAAATTCAGTTCAAAGTTGAACCGTTATATCTGCACTTTGACTCTGATTATAGAGAAAATTTTTTACAACTTTTGGGCCATCAATTCCCAATTTCGACAAAAGACACTTCAATTTCTCCTTTTAAATAAATTGCAGACAAATGGTTCTAAGACAATTTTAATTCCCTTAGCTGTATTAGAATTATTTTTATTGTTTTTAAAAAAACTCTTTGTGCTGCTCGTTAACATCGCCACATTTACTGTAGTAATTTAATTTTACAAAAATTTAAAGATTAAAATCAAATCAAAGAAGTAGCTTTGCGTTGACATTTTACTAAATTTCATTAATTTTTGAAACTGCATAAAAAAAATTTTCCCCCAAATTTATCTTTCATTTAAAATTTAAAATTTTAAAAGTGTTTTTTTATTTCCTTTCAAAAAATACGTGTCTTACATCAAAGTGCCTTACCCATTATTGTTCAGATTCCTCCTCTTCCTTGTCAGCAAAAATAAGCAAATCCTACCTCCTTTAAGTGCTTACGTATACACCTTCAAATAATGTGTGGGGGTTGGCGTGTTTCGCTTTTTTGCCAGCTAGAGAAACGAAGATCTAAAACTTTTATAAGGCATTGGTGACAGCAGGTTCAAATATAAAACAGTGGTAGCTCAGGGGATAGAGCTTTCGCCATCCAATGAGGTGAACCGTGTTCGAATCCCAGTGATGGCTGGTCGATACGAAATCCCGCTCCCAACTTGTACCGACCACAGTGCTGACATAAAAACATACTCAGTGGTGTGCGGATCATGGGTTAGAATCCCCTTTCCGTCCAGCTAACCGAGGGAGGTTTTTGTGATTTGCCTCTCCATGTAACGCAAATGCGGGACAGTTTCATCAAAAAAGTCCTCCATGGAGGCAAAAGTTCACCCAATACTTGGTCCAGGAGTTCCGTTGTCTTCTAGATTGGGTTCAAAATCACAAAGCTACGGAGTTGAACATTAGTAGTCGTAAATTCAAAATTCAGTCGGCTGTTCAGCAACTGTTGTAAAAAAAAAAAAAAAAAAAAAAACACTTTGAAATAGATGGGAATTTAAAAATATTTACAAAGCTACATTTAGTTATTGCTTTAAAAGATCTTAAAAAATTGCCTATAAAAATTTCAATAAAATAATTTGTATTATCTTAAAATATCGTTTCTTTTCTGATTTTGCCAAAGGCTCTATGCCAAATTATGTAAACGTTTGTCATTGACAAACTAACATCAAAGTTAAAATATTTTGTATCTATCTAATATGGGGAAAGGGAATGAAAATTCATATGCTAGGAGTCAAAATTTGGACTAGAATTTTACGATATCCTCTGCGGAACCTGAATAATCACCTTGATCGGTTGATGAAGTACAACCAAAGGCAAGTCGGATTTGTTCTACAGAGCAAAATCAATCTCTGGAACGAAACGATATCCATCACATGTTATCCCTCCCTCTTTTTGATACAACGATACAACTCCACTCGCACCCCCCTTTGTATGAACTCCCCACTCACAAAACATTAACTCCTCCTCTTTTACCACGGTTCCTAATCAACACTGACACGGCCGATAATTTATCGGCTCTTTGCACCCTCTACACACAGAAGCAACGGACCTCGTCTCTAGGNTCCCCACTCACAAAACATTAAACTCCTCCTCTTTTACCACGGTTCCTAATCAACACTGACACGGCCGATAATTTATCGGCTCTTTGCACCCTCTACACACAGAAGCAACGGACCTCGTCTCTAGGGTAGAATAATTTTATGAACCAAACTCTAAAATGAAGTTGTTGACCTGTTTTTAATGGTCTTTTATTTGAGGGACTGATTGACTTTTATGGATCTTGAGGATGGTTTTAAAGCTGGTAAAATCATTGTTTAAGAACAGTGATGAAAGACAGACTATTTTTTCAAGCAGGTTAGGTAATTAGGGGATTATTTTGAGACGAAAACAAATGTTAGAAGGTAAATATTTGTATCTGCATCTGCCTCCAGTCACAGATCCTGATTTTACTACCCAATTACTTTTTTCATAGCTCTGAATGAAAACTGACTTTTGAAAACAAGCTGCCATTGCAAAATGGAATTGTTTATGTTTACTGATCATAAAATGAAAAACATTAATTTTAGTCTAACTCTCTGAGCTACCATGCTATTTAAAGTAAAAGATGGATTTACTGGATTTACAGTTGTAGGTAAATTAAAATTGTTATTGCAATATAAAGTGAATGGAAATTTATATGCAGTAATTCCTACCCCCAAAATAGGATATATTTAAGCTTTGTTGTTTATATTAGTACATGTCACTAATAAAAAGATTTCATTTCCTAAAATTTGATCCTTCACCCCCACCCCAAAAAAAAACAGCTTGAGGAAGCAGAAAAGCATTGAAAAATCTGAAAAGTTCTGAACAATGCACGAACATTAAAGAAATAACAATGCAAATATTTCATAACACACATACTAAGTATAAACACAGAGTGCCATAAGATGAAATCGGGTAATAGTATAAATTCTCGATCCGTAATTTTTAAAAAACTACAAACACATATTTCAAACACTATCTTCACAAATGCATATCTGATATGAAGCGTGGTTGCAGACGTGATAGACTGTAGGGAGAAGATCCGGAGAATATGTTGGGGTAGGCAAAACTTCTAACTTCAATTTATTCAGTTAACACATAATAAAAAAGTGTAAACGTTTAAGGATCTGATTGTCAGAAAGAGACAAGTCGGAAAGTCTCTTTCTGTCGAAAAGTCGGAAGTGAAAATGGCAAAACTTCAAACTTGAATTTATGCAGTTTTATAAAAAAGTTTCAGTGTTTGAGCATTTGATAGTTAGTAGAAGATAGTTAGAAGAATATGATGGATGATGTAAAACTTTACACTGCATCTCTATCAGTTTTTTAAGTAGAGTTTTGAAAAATTATGTTATTTCGTAAATAACAATTTTTGCTTAACCAATTACATTATTTAAACTCAATACTGAACTATAATAGAGGAAAAATAAATTATATATAATTGTAGACTACAAAAATATACATTTATTTATATTATTTATTAAATAAATATGCATTTTAGTAATACGTAATTTTAAAAAATTTTATTTAACAAAAGTCATTCAAAATGTTAAAAGTAATTTTTTCTTTTAATTTTTATTAAAATTAGAAAAAAAAATCAAATTAACTAAGAAATAATTAATTAAATTTTTCATTATTTCTGATATAGAGTAACTATTTGTTAACAATAAATGTGATTCATTAATTATTGGATCGATTCAAAGGAAACTAAATGAATAAATATTGTTATAAATATTTGGAGTTTAATTTTTTATACAAAACAACCCAACAAAATGATGTTTTTTAATAATCCATTTTAATAATTTATTTAATTTTTATTCAAATGATTTTAATTCCTTGTAGGTCAAGGTCGAGTTAATCAACTTGGGGGTGTTTTCATCAATGGACGACCTCTTCCGAACCATGTCCGACTACGAATTGTTGAGATGGCAGCAGCAGGAATCCGTCCTTGCGTCATCAGCAGACAGCTCAGAGTTTCTCATGGCTGTGTTTCCAAAATCCTCAATCGATACCAGGTACTAAAAGTAAATTCATTTTTTGAATTTATTTGATTAACCATCTTCAAATGGCAACGATAAAATTGCTGAACAGTTTCTGCCATTTAATTATGCTAACATTAATTCTCATCTGACTGTTAGGTGTAATATTTACTAAGCTTTAGTTTCAGGCATGATATGTCGTTTAATAGTTAAAATATTAATTAAAAACCCATAAAATTTTAAATAAAATTCTACCAAGATTTAGTCTGTAATACAAATCTGTTTTGATATGTTATTGCATCAATGAGTTAATATGTACTCATTGAGCATGGGATTACTCAGGCCCATGAGTACAGTTTTGGATGTGATACTCATTATTGAGTTCATTTGATCTCATTCAGTATGAGATCGCTTTGATGACTCATGAGTGCAGTTTTGGATATGATATTTATTTATAAACCTTTAGGTTATCATTAAGATTTTCTAGAGACTATGATTGCTTTGACTTATGAGTACTATGCACTATATTCTCAAGCCATGGCTCTTAATATATAATGTAATTTTAAAGTGCTGTTGACACACTATTTTTCAAATCGTTTATTCGTTGTTCTTTCTTTGGTAAGTGAAAAATCAATTTAAAAAAAAACTTGCCAAAAATAGAATCAACTCAGTTGACTCAATAAGAAATATGTCATAAAAATCTGACGAATTGTGGTGAAAAAAAAAATTAGCATAACCAATGCTGTTTCATAAGTTAGACAAGTCGAATGAACAATAGGAAACGATTACATTTCGCAGATTTGAAATTTAACTTACAGTTTTATATCTTACTAAAGCCTAATTTTAATTTGTGTGGTCGGGATTCTTTTATCTCATAATTTCGTTATTTGTGACTCCCGCTTATTATAATTATGTAGATATTTAGGAATATCTTTATAGTATATAAGGTATTTAATGGGTAATTAGGAATATTTATATAACATTTTTATATTTAATTATATGTATAGGTAATTAGGAATTAACTTTATAGAATGAAAAATGCATGGTAAGGAAGGTACTCAAAAAGCTCAATATATAATATTTATTTTTACAATATGGTGAAAACATTTAAAAGCACTGTTTCCTAATCAAGTTTTTATATATTTTTTTAAAGGAAACTGGAAGTATAAGGCCCGGTGTGATTGGAGGAAACAGGGGGAAGACTCCGAGTGATTCAGAACAAAAGGAAGAGTGTAAAAAAGACAATTCAAACTGCTTTAGCTGGGAACTTCGCCAAAGGATCTCCAAAGAATCAAATTATGAACATAAAGTAAACCAAAATGCAATAGCACAACTTCTGAACACTGCATTAAGTACAAATAAACTTGATAAAACTGAGGACTTAAACCAAAAAGGTACCGGTGGTCATAAACACACAATTGATGGCATTCTGGCTTCAAAAAAGTCATGTAAGTACTTTAAGTTTTCCATAAACTTTTTTTGAAGTACTTATCAAAACCATGTACAGTTACCAGAAAGAAACAAAGGAAAATTAAGGGTTTTCAGGTAGATGCCAGTGTTGGTTGAACTTCGCTTCAGTTAGTTAGCACCTTACAAAATAGGTTATGAATTTGGAACAATTCAAATGTTCATTGAAGCCTAAAACGATGTAAATAATGCTCAAATAAATTACAGATATGGAGTTTCGGTTCTATAAATAAGAACCTTCCTCGGTGTCTAAATGGCTCTGAAGAAGGTTCCTGTTTAGAGAATTGTAACAGCCGCTTCGGTACGTTATTTGTAAATCGAAAATTTTGAATTTCTGACCCCCGAAATATAGGGGTTAGCCGCAATCTGGGAAATATGATTTTACTAGTTCATTGCACACAATTATAAAATTCGTTTTTCATACGAAAAATAAATTTTAGTAAATTTTATTTTACTGTACATTGTACTCTAATATTCCTTAAAATGATTCAATTATGCAGTTGAGTACTACAGCTAAAAAATTCGAGTTTTTTTTTTTTTTAAAAAAAAAGACTTGTTCTATGCATTAAGTTTTTTAAAGAGCGAGTTCCTTAAAGAATTTCAAGTTATTTATTTAATTTTATTTTTATTGAATATTGCTCTATGTTATAAAGAAAATACGTCTACAAAATCGTGAGAGAGACAAAAATTTCCTTTTAAAATGGGTTCGGAGATAAAAGGGGAAAAGAAAGTTTAAGGAACCTTATTCTAATGTATGGTTAAAACCTGTTTACAGTAAGAAAAATTCTTACAATAAAAATTTAATTTTTTACTTCATTTAATAATTTCAGCGAAAAGTTTTTTTTAGCAAAGAACTATATTTATGAAACAAATCTATATATTCGTTGGTGAGAGTAAAAATTTCGCTATGAAAAAGGGTCCTGAGTACAAAAAGTTTATGAAACAATATTTTAATATGTGGCTAAAACCTGTTAGCTCTGTGTGAAGTTATTAGAATACAATGTATTTTTTAATCAAAAGAAGGTAAAATTTTCTGAAGTAGCACTATGCCTGTAAAATATATTAATTTTTTTGTAATGTCGTGAAAACTTTTCGGTCTGAAAAGGAATTCCATCGAACAGAAAAAGCTTAAAAAGCTCTATTCTAATGTATGATTTAATCCTCTTCATACTGTGCAAAAAAAAATTAATTTTTTTCATTTAATTTTAGAAAACCTCACGTTCAATATCTTAAAAATATTAAATTGTTAAATGCATTTTGCTAACCTCTGGATTGGATTTTTTTAGAATGATAAACAAAATAACAGCAAAGCTTGTAACTATGCAACTGGGAAAGCTAATACAATTCAAATTTCCACCAAAGGGGAAAGAGAGGGATCAGGGGAAAAAAATATACGATTGCGAAACTACTTTATTTTGCCCTTTTCTGCGCCATCACCTCTAACGTATTACAGCACAAAAGAACCCATAATAATCCTCATGTAACATCAGCCTGGGGCATGCTTAATTCGAATGCAAAGCTTGGTTCGTGACATACTGGTTTTATACAGTTATATTCCAATGCTTGTGGCGAGGGATTAGAAAAGAAAGAGACTTTCGAATTCGAATTGAAATCAACAATGCCACAACCGCATGTGTGGTCGCATATATTCTGTGGCCCCGCTGTAAATTGTTCATTCTGTGGGGTGGTTATCCATTGTGAAATGGAACGTTCGAAGCAAATTAGGGGGTTATTTCCAAGCTGGGTGTGGAGTGGAGATGTTTTCTTCATATTAGCGCTGTCCAAGGTGTTATTGTTGACGGATGATGACTTCTTTAGCTAAGCAATTTTTTTCAACTTGTTCTTTTTTTCCGCAGACGATTTTCGTAAATGGAATTCTGTTCTTCTTTTCTTTACTACATATTTAAGTTTCTTTGTTGCTCATTTAGATGACCACCTTTTTTCGGAAAGTGGTAGTTTTGAGGAATTGAATGATATCAAGTATTTGGGGTTAGGACAACACGACTCAGTCATGTTCTTCTGGGTGGTAAAACCAACTGGAATTTCATTTTAATGTCACTTAAGAGGGCTTAAACTCGTGCCCGGCAACAGCTTCGGACTGATTTTGCATTCAAGTTTTGTTGTTGTTGTCATTTCATCAACATATAGCCAGTTAAAGTAGAAGCATGTAGTAGTTTTTTGTGGGGGTATTTAAATTGATGTTTACATCAATTTAAAAAGCATTTAAATTCACGCGCATTCGACCGGAATTTCGTTTTTGTTGCATCCTAAGAGGGTTAAGGTCAGAACGGACAACAGCTTTGGACTTAAATGCTTTTCCATCAGATATTCTTTGTCATCTTATCAACAAATGGCCAGTTGTAATTGGAGTATAGAACATATTTTATTTGTAGGGGTTAAGATTACATCAATGATGCAAACTAACTAAAGGTACTCTTCCACTAATTCGCAATTATTTCCTAATTTATATATTTATTTATTTATTTCCCATTCAAATAACTACATATTTTTAAACTGTTGTTAATTTTGAATGCTTTAAATACCATGTATTTGATATTTTAGACAGAATAAGACAGTTCCATTCTTATAGGTAGTAAAGCCAAACTGAATTTAGCTTTGTTGTTGTCTAAGAAAGTTAAGCTCATGTAGACAGAGAGGGGCTATGTTCTTAAATGTTTTCGCGACCTATTTTTTTTTAAATTTTTTTTTTATTATAGTATAAGGATATATAAGGAATAACTGTGCAATATAAGGATTAACTGGAGTGTGCAATATAAGGATTTTTTTATTACAAAAGCTTAATTGGTGTTTTCATCTATAATACAAATTAAAAACTTATTATTCAATGAAAAAAAAGCAATTTTAATTTATTTTTCTTTTTGCACGTGCATAAGCCATTTTTCTATTTAGGTTTAATTTGAACAGATCTTCGTTTCAAAGAACATCGTTCAAAGAACATTGTATTTACTACATTTGAAAAATATGGGAAACTTTTATTACCATAGTATCATGGACCTGATCTAAGCGTTCCTGGACCAGGGGGGCATGAAACAACAACTTTTATTGCAGTTATAGCTTGAAATGTGCTTTGGTGCTTGTAGTAATTTTTTAATGACACCTTTTAATTATTATATAAATAAGACGAATTTATAAATATTCAGAATAAAATAAAATAAGCAGTGTAATGCAAGCTTCAAACCTTTAGCCCCTTTTTCTTTATTACTTATCCAAATCTTCTTTTAGATATTTTTAAATGTTGCTCTTATTGAAATTTATAACACTGTTGAAAAGCAAAAATTAATAAAATTTTTTAACAAAAAGTAATATCAAACAAATTAAAATATTATTTAATGATATCACATTTTTTTAAATTTAATTTTGTTTCTTTTTATTAACTTAAAAAAAGGTGTATTAAAAAATAGAAAGGGCTTGTTATCCAACATACTAATTCAATAAATATGACTAACTTTCTTTGAAAAATTTTAATCAATTATTCAAAAATTTTTGGCGTAAATATGAAAACGCTAAAGGAGAAATTTAACTAAAAGCGCTGGGGCAAAGTATTTACTGTTGTGAGTTCGCTTCGATTAATTTTGCACACATTTCATATTTAGAAAATTTAACTTCTAATTTTTACTTGCCAATTTGGCTGAATCAATTTACATAATTATAATTTAATTAAAAATGAGCTTGATACTTAACGTTTGGAAATATTACATTTGAGTTTAATAATTCGTTAAAAACTCAAAATATAGATTCAAAAAGTTTGTATTAAAGTAATGTTAAAATTTATTAAAGTCTTATAAAATAATTGGAATGTAGGTGAAGCAAAGAAAGCAGAATAACTTTGTTAAAATTATTTACATTCTCATGCATCTACGATTTTCAGTTAAAATAACGGGATTGACTGTTTAGAAAATCCTCCATTTCTCGGTTTATTGCGAACAGCAAAAGAAATAATCCGAATAAACGCTTTAAAGATTATTGATGGGTTCAAGATTTTGTTCTCTGCACAGCATGAAACCATCGTTTCTTTCACGCTAAATTTCACAACTGTGTGATATATTGGCGATAATGTTTGGAATAGCTCATCTCACAAAAGATACAGACAGTTTAAGTACTCAGCAATTCAATCAGTTGATCTACATTTGTCTTTGTCACATATACAATTTTTTCTGAGTGAAATCACACAAGAAATCTCACGTTGAAATTTTTGTTGGCCGAAATTCGGACAAGCATTATCAATCAGGATCGTAAATTTTTATAGTTCTCCGGTATCTTTCATTGAATAGGATAACCACTTGCAGTTCAAAAGATTACTTTGAATTTGAAAAGATGAGAATAGCTACTGTAATTTTGTGATTCTTTGGCAGTGTCTTCCAAAGTAGATACGTAATTATGATCACAGATTTATCTTCAAAGAGAACTTTGGTAATGTTTTCTACAGCAGATATGTGATTTTGATCACAGACTTATCCTGAGAGAGAACTTTGTTAATGTCTTTTGCAGCAAATATGTAATTGTCATCACTGTCTTTACATTGAAAGAAAACTTGACAACGCAGTAGATATGTGACTATATCCTCAGATTTTTCTAGTAAGAGGACTTTATTAATGTCTTCCACGAAAGATATGTGATTGTAATCCAAAACAGCGATGATTTGAAAAAAAAAAAAAAAAAAAAAAAAAAAAAAAAAAAGACTGTGAGGGTACATCTTGTATCAAACCTAACTTTTTGCATTGTTATATTATTTCAAAAACTAAATAAATATTTGTATAATGGCACACTAATTAAAATTATCTTTTTTAATGAATAATTTTTTAAACACACTCTTCATTTGATTTTTGCTAAAAAAAATTTTTTTTCTTAGGTGTAAATCTAATCTATGTACGATTAGATTTGTACATACAAATTTTCTTTAACAAAAATCAAAAGAAGACTGTTTAAAAAATTACTTACAAGAAGAAAAAATTAGACTTTT